TTTAAAAATTCTTCTTAAAGAAATATTATTTCTATGGGTGCCGAGTCATGTTGGAATCCTTGGAAACACAGCTGTAGACCTTGAGGCAAAGAATGCCCTGGGTGACCCTTTATCTAACTGTGATATACCATATACCGATTTTAAATCTAATATTAGAGAATATGTTTTTAATATATTGAAAAATGAATGGAGTAAAAAAGATGGTAATAAATTACATGAAATTAAACCTAATTTATGTAAACCTTTCAATAATTTTATGTGCAGAAAAGATCAGTGTGTTATTTCTAGATGTCGTATTGGTCATACTAGAATAACACACGAATATCTTTTAAAAAATGAAGTAGAACCACAATGTATACCTTGTAACTGCAAGTATACTATTAAACATGTTTTAATCAATTGTATTGACTTTGCTGATATTCGGAAGAAGCATTTCAATGTCAATAATATGTATGATTTATTTAATAATATTCCATTTACAAATATTGTTTCATTCTTAAAAGAAATTGGAATATATTATAAAATATAAAAATGTTGTTATATTTAAAACGATTTTAATTTTTATCACGTTATCTTAGTGTTGATTTTTATTTGTAAATAATCAATTTGCTTTAGTCTAGAATTTTAGTTTATTGAAAGACCTTTTGTCTGATTTTAAAAATATACCTTAAATTGTTATAATATTCGAATTAGCTCTCGCCGCGATATAGCCTTTCTGTGCTAATGCGGCGTAAAGCAAACAACAATCAATCAATCAATCCATTTACAAATATTGTTTCATTCTTAGAAGTTGGAATATATTCTAAAATATAAAAATGTTATTATATTTAAAACGATTTTAAATTTTATCACGTTATCTTAATGTTCATTTTTATTTGTAAATAATCAATTTGCTTTAATCTAGAATTTTAGTTTATTGAAGGGCCTTTTGTCTGATTTTAAGAATATGCTTTAAATTGTAAAAAAAATATTCGAATTAGCTCTCGCCGCGATATAGCCTTGTTGTGCTAATGCGGCGTAAAGCAACCAACAATCAATCAATCACATTCAGTAATATGTGTATAGGGCAACTTATGCACAATTATCACAAAAATTTCATTAGCTAAAAATAAAAGCTAACCTTGCTGCCTTAACCTTCCCCCAAAATATTTAAATACAATATGAATTAAATTAATTTTAGGATGAATTACTGTAACTTCGCAAAAGTGATCATCAGCAGATCTACCAAAGATATTGAGACAATAAACTTGTGGAATACACAAAAAGATAAAGAAAATGAGAAGGAGAGACTGACAAATTTTATCAACATGAAAGATAGATACTACAATTATTCAATTTTTATGGAAAAGTATCCCAAAATGTCTTTGAATTTCGATCAATTTAGAAGCAAATCCACAAAGCTACAATCATATCTCTCAGACAAAAAATACTGGAAAAATCTTAACAAATCTGGACAGCAGCATTCTTTCCCTAGCCATTTTTCACTTAAGAATTGGCTTTCACTTAGCTCCAATGAAAGGCTTCAACACCAGCTAGTTGACTGTAGACCTTGTTCCACTGTTCACTACAACTTTTCAAGTCTTCATACATCCATGGCACCTAATTTTGAAAATGCACACCAGCTTTACGAACAAGGGACAGAAAACATTTTGAAGATAACATCACCAAACAGCAATACCACCACCAAGGGAATGAAAGTAATAAAATCTATCGTCAACATCATCCAACCCATAGTAGAGCAACGTTTAGATATGAAATTTCCAAGACCCATTTCAGATTCCATCATGCTTTCCCCACCAGTAACACCAAAGGAATTGCAATCCACAAAAAATAAAGTTATGCAAGAAAGCAGAAAAAAAATCAATGAATCTTTCACCGACGGAGGTAATGACGTTTACAATTTTCTTTCTTCATCAATTTCCTTCCGTGAACATGACAGGATTCGCCTCGGCAATTTTCTTGAAACCAAAGACCATACCCAACAGAGAGTAAATAAGAGCCTAGAGAAAGAGAAAACTGGTAAGAGGAAACACAGAAACCACCATGGACAATTTGATTCTTACAGATTTGACAAAACAGAATTTTTGACAGAGATTAAAACCAAAAAAGAAGGGGACACTATCAACTGGACAGCTCTGGCGCGTAAATATCACATCACCTGCAACGGCAAATTTCCTGCAAACGGGGGGCAAATTCTACAGGAATATGCAAGAAGCAATGGAATTAACACCATCAAATTCAAATCTAAAGTTTATAATAACCATAGGGCATATTTTAGAAGGATAAGGAGGGCAAAAAAAGTGGTAACAGTCAACAGAACAAAATTTTCCCTCCCAACTCCAAGGCAGTCATCCCACTTAAAGAAAGACATAAAGAAAAGTTAACTTCCGGAGACTTATATTTAGGAGAAGAAATAGCACCAAAGGACATCATTTCAACGACAATAACAGACGGAAAATTGCAGCAGAAAACAACAGTAATACATGGTAGAAAATTCCCCCTCATTAGACTTAGAAGAACAGCTTTGCAGGAACAGGAAAGCAGTGGGGTATTAAGGTATTTTAGTAACCAGGAATATGACAGCTTAACCATGGAACAACTTACATCTCGTTATATCAGGATCGGACAGAAACCACCAGCAGGAACTCTTTCAGATAAAATAGAACATCTCAAAAGCACTGAAAGAACAAGAAAAATGAAACTTTGGCACGATCACAGCAGCATCCTAAACCATTCCTATGTATGTTTCACCATCTCATGGCTATATGATCCTGCCAACTATTTTACTGATATAGAGTACAAAGAGAAATATCCAGACCGTAAGCCAATTAACGTTCAAGGTATTGTTGAAAAGCCCAAGTTATATATTTTCGGCCAATCAGGTAGCAGCGACTTAGAACAATCAAGTTACACTGCAGTTAGAAATGAAGACCTGCAAATCTTATCTGAACCTATAACAGCGGACAATGGTAAAATAAATATTTTTGATTGATTGATTGATTGTCGGTTGCTTAACGTCCAGTGGCAAATATTTCATGCATATTCAGGACGAGAACAAGTTCACAATAAATACAATAGGTAGGTTCTGTAATAGATTAAGGGATTATGGTCGGAGAAATTTAGACTGCCACGGGAAATGAGGGTATATTGGATAGGGACAGAAATTTAGCCTTGTAACAGGTCACCTACGGACCCCTCAAAGAGTTGTTGCAAGGGTTCTTAACGTGCAAAGAGCGTGGCACTCTCTTTACACGAGGCATCGGATTTAACGTCCCCATTCTGACCGGACGTGGCTGCAAATTTGTACATCCCGCACAGCCAAACGGACGCCCCACTTTAGCACGGGTTTTACTGCCGGTCGGAGGAAGACCAATGGTGACCATACTTCTATTCCCCAGCCACCCTTGGGGGTAAATATTTTTGATGTAATGCGCGTATTCAGCGGTGACGGTCCTGCAAGACAATTTGAAATTGGACAGCAGAGAGGTGGAAATTATCCCTGTGTATGTGGGGTTCATGCTAATGATCACGGTAATTTATTCTCTGTTATGGCATTGAACCCCTTACACTAGATGAACGAGTCGGTGTAATAAAATCCACAAGATGTTTCGACGAGCTGAAAAAGGGAAATTTAAATCCATTCCAAAATTTAAAGAAAGACGACCTTATAGAAGAATTAGAAAGCAGAGATGTCGATATTCACAACATGTTACGTCCCGAACTACAAGAAAATCTATCCACCCTACTTCATGGAATTTGCAGACCACCAGCTCTTATGACAACAACCCCTACTCTTTCAACCCACCCCCCAAGGGTGACTGGGGTATAGAAGTATGGTCACCATTGGTCTTCCTCCGACCGGCAGTAAAACCCGTGCTAAAGTGGGGCGTCCGTTTGGCTGTGCGGGATGTACAAATTTGCAGCCACGTCCGGTCAGAATGGGGACGTTAAATCCGATGCCTCGTGTAAAGAGAGTGCCACGCTTTTTGCACGTTAAGAACCCTTGCAACAACTCTTTGAGGGGTCCGTAGGTGACCTGTTGCAAGGCTAAATTTCTGTCCCTATCCAATATACCCTCATTTCCCGTGGCAGTCTAAATTTCTCCGACCTTAATCCTTTAATCTATTACAGAACCTACCTATTGTATTTATTGTGAACTTGTTCTCGTCCTGAATATGCATGAAATATTTGCCACTGGACGTTAAGCAACCAACAATCAATCAATCAATCTTTCAACCCATCATCTTAACTTGGACAACTATGAAATATTTGGCATGGAACCACTACATGATCTTTCCAACTTTATACAGAACATTATAAATGAATTACCTTCCCATATAAGCGACAAAAAACTTCAAAAAGAATTAGAGGAATTTTCGAAACTCACCATTGGAGATAAAAATAAAATTAAGGGATCAGATGCGCGTCTGTACTGAGTCAAATTATCACATTTTCTATCTTCATCACAACTAACTGATCAAAACGTAAGACGATGATTGACTCACTTCTTGAAATTACCCACATTTCATACTCTAAGTACAACACAAGATCTCCAAAACAGATACTAAGACTATACAATCAAAGCTTTCTTCTTGCGGTAAATTGCAGAAATGTTGTTGGAGTCCCATTCAATATGTCATCACGGAAATTTTTTGGTAGTCATTTCCACAGCGTATCCATCCATCTTGCTGAAGTTCGAAGAATATTCAACCTAAGGTCCCTCGTAACAGAACAAGAAGAAAGATGTTTTGGAGATCTCCGAAGAATTTCAGAAAACACCAGTAATCGTCAACCGAAAACAGTATGTGACAACGCAGTTCTAAGATTTACTAGTCAACAATCCAGCAAACAAGATAGCCTGTACATTCAGGAATCGATTATTCAAAAGCTAGCGAAGCAAATACAGGCCAAACCAAGAACTTTAATTCCATCAACTATTCTCAATAAAAGACCAATGTTAGTACAAAGCCATCTGGAGAGGATAAGCGATTTTATTTTACCTGGCGAAGGAGTTTGGTGGCACATGGAAGACGGCAACATGATCTTTCATGATGGTCCTTATGATGAACCTTGTCACAATGAAGGTCCAGAAATGCATCACTTCAGGTCATCATCCTACAAAGAAGAACATCAATTACTTAAAGACATCTGGGAAAAGGTTACAGAAAATTTTAAAGACAGAAAGATTTCATTACCACTTCAAAGAATTAAGACGTCTGACAAAGATGGCAAAGTCTTGTTTATAACACCAAATGAAACAGGTATGTATAAACAGTTTAAACCAATGACAACTACAAATTAAGAATTTCTATTATAATATTATTCATAACATCTTAAGACTTTTCATGGGATTGATTGATTGATTGTTGGTTGCTTTACGCCGCATTAGCACAACAAGGCTATATCGCGGCGAGAGCTAATTCGAATATTTTTTTACAATTTAAAGCATATTCTTAAAATCAGACAAAAGGCCCTTCAATAAACTAAAATTCTAGATTAAAGCAAACTGATTATTTACAAATAAAAATAAACATTAAGATAACGTGATAAAATTTAAAATCGTTTCACCCAGGGCATTCTTTGCCTCAAGGTCTACAGCTGTGTTTCCAAGGATTCCAACATGACTCGGCACCCATAGAAATACTATTTCTTTAAGAAGAATTTTTAAATTCCTCATTACATATAAAATTTTGAGAATTGTTGGGTTTGTAATTTTAGTATTTTGTATAGCTTGTAAGCATGAAAGTGAATCAGAACATATAATAAATTTGGATTTATCTGAAGAAGCAATAAATTTCAAAGCCAAAATTATTGCTTCTGCTTCAGCAGTAAAGATCGATGCATCAGATGGCAAACGGAGAGTTGCAGCTCTGTCCCTGAAAACAGCAGCAGATGCAACTCTGTCACCATCTTTTGATCCATCAGTATAGACAGTTGAGAAATCTGAATAATTGGCTTTGATTTCAGCATAGTGTTGCTGATTTAAAAGAGGGTTTGTTTTATTTTTATTGTGTTCACGGAGATCAAATATCATTTTTGGTTTGGGAAGTTCCCATGGAGGACATTTGCAAGTTTCAACTTGATCAACAGATTTTAAATCAAAAGTAGCTAAATGTGGTTTTAAACGTATACCTAACGGAGGAATTTTATTTTCATGTTTCGCAAAAATATCTTCATAAATTGGATTAAAAACACAGCTGTAGGCTTTTAGTTTGACAGCATATTGAAGTCCAAGCTTCAAACGTCTGTTAGAGAGTGAGTGCTCATCAGCCTCTACATACAGACTCTCAACTGGTGAGGTTTTAAATGCGCCAAGACAGAGACGCAAACCCTGATGATGCACAGCATCGAGAATCTGTATGTAGGACTTCCTTTGTTTGCTCACGGTTGGAATGATTTGCAGTCCTTGTTTACTAACATGTCTAAAATCCGGCTCAGTATAACAATCTTGTACAAAGCAATTTTCATTACTATATCGCTTTGCATGTTCTACCCTGAATTTGCAAATAGTTTGCTGCTGGAAGTTTAAAGACCTTATATTATATAATCTTCATCATACATATATTTGGAACTCTAGTTATTTTTATGATATCAATTTCATGAATTTTTGTGAAAATCTAATATTTGTTAGATTTTAATTCTTATTTTCTTGACATAATGTCAGTAAAATTATCCATTTAAGTAATACATATTTAGTAAAATAAATAACTTAAAATTCTTTTTAGATGTAATTTCCTTCTTAAAAATTACTGTATAAACTTACCAGAAACTACTGATGTTTTGTAGACTTGGCATCTGAGTCAACAGACAGCTACCAGCACAACATACCTGTACAAGGTAAATGACTATTCTTAATAACATAAAAGATTTACATGTTTCTCAGCACTATACTAATCATGCTAATATTTATATTCAATTTCTACTTCATAAGTAAAATTTGTTTTTCGCGATTCGTTTTAGTTGATGGAAAATTTTTATGAATCTGAAAAAAAATCGTAGAAATTCAGCTGATCTACAATTTCTTTGCCTTATGTCATTATAAATACCATCATTTTTTTTATGAAAAAGTTAAAGGAGTAGGGTCGATAAGGCTCTAAAATGGCCCTTTTTTCTAGATTAAATTTCAAAATAAGATTTATTGATTATTATTATACCTAATACGTAGTATACAATAACTTGACAGGAAATGTGTCTTTTGATGAAAAATTTGCATAGTTGTGTTCAATTTCATGATGTAACAAATAGCACTTATTTTTTCAACAAAAAATCAATGCATATGAAAACAAGTAAATTTTCATTGACATTTTTATCAGTAAACAGAGTGCAAATGTTGACAACAAAGATCTTGTGACATAATGTTTGTTATGACCTTTTACATATCTGACTTGACAATTTAGTTCTTGAATGCCTGCGCTCTCCGTTTCCTATGACTTTATTTGGTTGAAATCCAGACAATTTTGTTAAATTTCACAGAAACTTCTATTTTTTACCTATTCAAAATGTAAAAATCAACGCTGTAAATGAAACTTTGACAAAAATAGTTCTATTAAAGTTTCTAATGTGTCTTTTTATCTTCTTATTTTGATCTTAATCCTTTGAGCTACAGAGGATGACCTAATCAAGAATACATATATATAAGTCACAGTGACCAATTTGTGCATCATCTTTCATGTAAATTGTATATATGCCTATTCTCAACAAAATCAATTTTGGACAGAAACACATTGACTGTATGTCTGAAACAGTTATCATGATTATAATTTTTTATTTGAATTTGTTTTTCCCTTAGAATTTCAAGTCAGTAGTGGTACCAGAGAACCTGCCAATGAGGATCAACAAACAAGTTCGCCTGAAAAGAATTTAGAACAAGGTATTCAATTACAAAGGAAAAAATGTTTTGATATGATGATTATATTCTTAAGTGGTGTGTGTTAAATTCACTTGATTGTTTTTTTAACATAAAATCAATCATCAATAAAGTTCATTTAGCATATTAAAAACACAGGATTATAAGATTCTTCAGGCAAAAAAGGTACAGGTAAAAATCCAAATCAAATTTTGAACTTTTTTGTTAACACTTTATTTTAACATTCCTGTTTAGTTATTTGCATAAATTTTATTTCATGTTACCATTTATTATAGATCCATATCAAATTCCAGACATAGAAAATGGACTCGAAAACAGAGAGGAAACTGCTTGAGAACAACAACATAAAACATTTGTACAAATCACATATTAAAGGTAATAAAATTATTTAAATCAAGTAGAGATTCAAGTTGATGTACCACTAACTAGCCTAAAACAAAATTGTATTCTACCAGTACCTTAAGAGAACAGTTTTAGACAGACACGCACACCAGGAACATGTCTATCTACTTAGTAATATTGTAGGCGTGGCATAAAAAGACTTCTAAAATTCTTAAACGTTTTGTTTTAATTGATTGATTGATTGCTGTATCATTGACATACATACATGTACCTACATGGCCTTTATTAAATAACATTATTCTTATACAAATATAAAAAAATAATCAGCTGTTAATGACATACTTTTTACCATTATGCAAAATTATCTAAAAAATTGTTCTTGATATTTTGAAAGTCCCTTCCTACCCTCCCTCATACATTTTAATGGAATAGCCCTAATAATACCATAATTTTAATAAACAACAAGTTTAAAGGAATCTAATTAGTTATACCTTACAGGTTTACAAATATAAATATGGTTTAATTTCAGTTTTAAAGTGGACTATACAGCCTAGCAACATCAGTGTCCATGAAAGTGTTGTCACCCAACGAAAGATATTACCAGGTATATATTCATTTTGCGTAAACTTCCGACTCTCATTCTTCAATGTCTTATTATTGCTCATATACACATGATATATATATGTATATATATATATATACAAGTCTAAATTGAAAACAACGTTCAAACCTATGATTGCGTTGGATAAAAAACGCAATTTTCATACGTGTGCATGCAAAACAAATTTCTTTGTAGAGGGGTCTAAATACAGCACAAACAACATTTTCCAAAAGACCAAAAAAGCGAAAAAGTATATATTTTAACAAAACGCATTTGACTAGCAGGTCGAACAACGGATGTTCTTAAACCCTGCTGACTGCCATGGCGATTGCCAAATAAACGGATCACAGATGTAACACAATGGAGCTTAATTATATTAATTTAATACCAAACAGAAAACAATAAACTTGCAGAAAAGATGGTCTACCGCAAACATGAGGTGCAAAAATTTGTACACCATATCCAGATATCGACAATTAATGTCTCTTCAGTGATGTTAGGAATCAAAACGGTATATATATATATATACAAGGAAATTACAGATGCAAATATTTTCTACTTTGTTTTGTTGGATTGCTGTCTCATCTCCCTTTGCCATATTTGAAACCATTTGTTTTACTTTCAGTTAACCAAAAACCATTAACATGCAGAAGAAAATTGTTCGAATCTGAAATTTCGAACAATGAAATTGGTAAGTAGCTGTTTTATCGTATAAACTCAAGTACTGTTTCAGCTAAAGCAATGAAAATTGGCAATTGTCACAAAATGGTGACGAAATTTTTAAAATGTGAAAAAGTTTATATAAATTATTTTGATTCATGTTAAAAAATACTATGGTTGAATTTCCATTTCCATTTAAATTAAAAATAAATACATGTATTATAAATCTGCAAATACTGATGATATACATACATTTTTTTTTATATTTCAGCATCTAGTAGAAAGAAGACACCTTTTGACCTGGCTGTTCAGTTACTGGGCCCATCATCAGATGTGGATGACTGCATCAAGTATAAGGAATTGAAGATGAAACACCCCACTCATAAATCCTTCATATCAAATTTTAATCAATCATTCTCCAAGCTACAGATTCAGGTCAGCAAGAAGTACCATTTCCTGAAAGACAAAATACAAAATGACGAGGGAAAGCAGAACCTGTAAAATCTGTTAGCTGACAAACGGATTGCACAAAAGCTGCTTGACCACTGGGGATTGTACCATTATTAATGTCCATTGCACTAAAATCTAATTTCTGATAAATGTGAGGAGACTAAAATCCATAATTATACCAAATGTCACCAAGCTTACCAACAAAATAAATAAGGAGATGTGGTATGATTTTCAATGAAATATCTACATAGCAGAGACTTAACAACTGTCAATAATGAGCAAAACCCATACTGTACAGTACATGCAGTAAGATATAAAAGATACCCTGTATGACAATTTAAACAAGAAAACAGACAGCCTTAAATACATTTACTTAAATACTATAGTCTATAGATATAAATTTTTCTTTTGATAGTTAAGTATCTGACAACACATGAACTATAGCAAAATTTTTAGCTACATTTATCATATGACAATGATGGATGTCCAGTGGGAAATATTATGTGCATAATATCAAGTACGTGTAATTGTTACTGTGGTATACGTATGATTGCTGTTTTAAAGTCCAAGATTATTAATATGCTCCTTAGACACAAACATACATGTATGAGACAACCAAAGCAGTATTATGTGATAATAATTAGCCTAATAACGACAGCTTAATTAATTGACCCTTTAATAGATTCAATATTTAGAGATCTGTCAAATGGTGCATTGAGCATTTCTAAAATGTATACCACCAGTGGCTTGCAGCACAAGGCTTTTTCAAGAAAAAAATGTGGAAAGGGGGATGGGGAGAGGATTACAACAAAAGCCATACAGAATTATGGTATGTTTACCAAGGAGACATCTATCTACATGTATCAGAGATGGTGATTTGAAACAACAGTAGGTCATTTAACTGCCTTCAACAATGAGCAAAACCAATACTGTATAGTAAGGTATAAAATGCCAAAGCATTACAAATTTTAAAACTAAACAGTTTAAATGGGAAAACCAATGGATTGATTTATGCTAAAGCAATAAATATATAACAAACAGCAGACAAGTGAGCAACAAATGACAATTACTTTAAAAAAGATGATAAAAAAGACTGAACAAGACTGTTTTAATTGCTGTTCTTCCTCATCATTATAATATCAAAGTCACATAGAGGCCTTCAACAGCAGCAACATCATCATTAGTTTTAAGAATCTGCCAGTCAGTCCAATCCCCCCTTTTTTTACTAATTTTCTTTTTGAAAAGCCTTCCATTAAATATGAAGAGATTTATGAAGTGGACATCTTCAATAAACAGACATGACAGCTACTGTATTCACTTCTCACATGGTTAAAACCTGTTGACAACTGACAATTAATAAGCACAATCCTTGTTCAGTTCTATCAGAGTTATCTTTAGTTATGTCAGACTGAAAAAAAACCCAATTGATTGATTTGTGGTGTTTTTTAAGGCCACTTTTAGCACTCTTGTCTTTATTGTTGCGGCCAAATTTTATTGTTAAAAGAAACTGGAGTGCCAGGAAATTAAAGAACCTACAACTTTTAGAAGGAAAACTGGACATCATAGTTAATTAAGATCATGGTCTAACACACCTGCCATTTACAGGGTAATGAGGCCCTCTAAAATTGATTTAAAGTTTGGTTTAAATACAATATTCAAATACAAAGTTACATTAGTCCAGATAAACTTTATTCAATGACAGGTAGCTTTATCTTAACTTCATTATTAGATTGAGACAGTAAATACAGCATCAGCTTCATGTACTTATGAGTCAAACCCATGTATACAGCCAGCTTATTTATCCCATATTGTAGACTTAGATATAAAGTTTCCATCATCATGATCAGGATAAGATCAGTATAACATATTTACGTAGGTCAATACTGATCAGTCTCTTTACTGGAGTCCCCAAGGGTGACTGGGGAATAGAAGTATGGTCACCATTGGTCTTCCTCCGACCGGCGGTAAAACCCTCGTCAAAGTGGGGCGTCCGTTTGGCTGTGCGGGATGTACAAATTTGCGGCCACGTCCGGTCAGAATGGGGACGTTAAATCCGATGTCTCGTGTAAAGAGAGTGCCACGCTCTTTGCACGTTAAGAACCCTTGCAACAACTCTTTGAGGGGTCCGTAGGTGACCTGTTGCAAGGCCAAATTTCTTTCCCTATCCAATATACCCTCATTTCCCGTGGCAGTCTAAATTTCTCCGACCTGAATCCCTTAATCTATTACAGAACCTACCTATTGTATTTATTGTGAACTTGTTCTCGTCCTGAATATGCATGAAATATTTGCCACTGGACGTTAAGCAATCAACAATCTTTACTGGATATGACACTACCAATTTGACAAATCAAATTCCTGGATATGACATTATAATCTTCACTAAATGAAAAACCAATTTACTGGATATGACATCAATTTTCCAGATATGGCAAAACAATTTACTTGATATGACATAGGAATTTACTGGATATGACATCAATTTACTGGATATGACATAATAAGGATGTGATAAAATATTTTGCTAAATTATGATCTTCTTATAAATAAATAATTCTAAAATGTAATGTTTAATGAACTTTCAAGATTATCTAACCAGTTTTTGTTTTAACTTTTTTTCTTTCTTTCAAAAAGTAAAGTTCTACGAAAAAATAACTTCACTAATGACAAGAATTAAAATAAAATGAGAATGCGACACCAAAAATCATGATGACATGCATATAAAAATAGCTGAAAAATTTCATCCATATAAGGTGTTATCTTAAAATAAGGTGCATAAAATCTCAGTATACGTAGTTTCAAAGAAGATGCTGTATAAAAACTCAGTAGTTTCAGAGAGGGTGTACTTAAAACATAAAAACTTCCTTGCTGTATAAAATTCCCCTTTCTTTATTTCATGCCATATTTTGTATTGCAATATTTCATATCAGTCCAAGTCCAGTGGAAATTCTTATATTGAAATAAACTTTTTTTGGTAACTTTTTTCTAGAGTAAATGTGCACATTTAAATTTGAACAAAAGTTTTTATAAATTAAAGTAAATGATAAACATTTGAATAAGTCATATTCTATTTGAAATTAAACAGGTCAATGTTTTTAGAAAATTTAATTTAGAAAATGTCTGCATGTCATCCATCTTTATTTCTTCAAATAATGAAAAGCATTTAATTTGTTAAAACCTTTAAAATAACAAGTGATTGTAAACCGTCTACTGTTTCTTAGAATAAAAAATAAAGGTGGCCAACAAACATGGGAAAGTTATGCAATATATAAATCATAATTTATACATAAATAGAAACCAAACTAATTATTAAACAGTGATTTTGCTAAAGTGAACAGTATAAAAATAAATTTCCTCTTGGACTGAAATTTGCAATGTGGTGGTGGGTGGGGAATGCAGCCAAGATATGTAAAATCTTGCCAGTCACAAGCCTGGAAGGAAGGTAACTTCAACATATATATGTAAGTGACCTTCTGAATGCAGAGTGAACCACCATATAAGAAGGAATAAACTAGTTTAGTGTGATTTTGACCTAAATGACCTACATGTAGTTTATTTTGAAACTAAGCTACAAAGTTAAAAGATTAAGTTCAAACTGTTGAGTAATCCATCAGAAAATAAATTTGTACAAATTAACAGAAGGTGTTTGAAAATGTTGTAACTAGAACAATCTATAGAGATATACTACAGATTCAGTTTTATATTTGTGGGATAAAATTGAGAATGGAAATTGCGATTGAGTCAAAGAGACAACAACCCAACCAAAGAGCAGAAAACAGCTGAAGGCCACCAATGGATCTTCAACACAGCGAGAAAATCTCGCACCCTGAAGCGGGTTCAGCTGGACCCTAAAAAAAAGTTGTAAAAGTAGAACAGGAATAAAAGCCCTGTTCATTGATAATTTTCAATTCACAAAGAAGTTAACAACTATAGGTCACGGTGTGGCCTTCAACATTAAGCAAAACCCATACTGCATTAATAAGCTAAGAAAGATCTGAAATCATGAAAATGACAAAATGTAAAACAGTTCAATCGAAAAAGATCAAGGAGATAGAAATCCAACAAAAAATTTCATAGGACATCTAGAGGGCAATTTTGCTATGTTTCCACTGCTAAATGATGCTAGACAAAAATGCAAGATTAATTGTTACAATTTAAGAAAGAGCTGTGTACATATATATGTATCAGTTAGCACAAAAGGAAGGTGGGGATTGATTTTGGGGGTTATGGTACCAACAGTTAAGGAATTAGGGGCCAAAAAGGGGCCAAACATAAGCATTTTTGTAACTTCCAGACATAACTTGTGTGTTAGTGTATGGATCTCTCTGACATTGTACCACAAGGTTCCATATCACAAAGGGAATGCTGGGATTGATTTTGGGGTAACTGCCTCCAAATTTTAGGAATTTGGGGTCAAAAAGGGGAAAAAGCAAGCATTTTTCTAGTTTCATGACAATAACTTGTGTGTAAGTGTATGGATCTTTATGAAATTGTACTACAAGGTTCCATATCACAAAGGGAAAGTTGGAATTGAGTTTCGGGGTAATGTTTAGGAGTAAGGGGCCAAAAATAAGCATTTTTCTAGTTTCCAAACAATAACTTGTGTTCAAGTGTATGGATCTCTCTGAAATTGTACTGCAAGGTACCATACCACAAAGGGAAGGCTGGGATTGATTTGGGGGTAATTCCCTCAAAATTTTAGGAATAAGGGGCCATAAAAGGGCAAAAAAAACAAGCATTTTTTTTTGGTTTCAGGACAATAACTTGTGTGTAAGTGTATTGATCTTTATGAAACTGTACTGCAAGGTTCCATATCACAAAGGGAAAGCTGGGTTTGAGTTTGGGGGTAATTGCCCTTAACATTTAGGAATTAGGGGCAAAAAAGGGGCAAAAAAACAAGCATTTTTCTAGTTTCCAGACAATTATAAACTTGTGTTCAAGTGTATGGATCTCTCTGAAATTGTACTGCAAGGTACCATACCACAAAGGGAAGGCTGGGATTGAGTTTGGGGGTGATGAATCATAAGAGGGTTCTAAAAAATGGGGGGGGGATTTTTTTTTCTTTAAAATTTTCCATTTTAAATTGGTTATTTCTGATTTATATATATAAAAGCAAATAATAATGATATGGTTTGAATAGGTAAATTAAAAAATTTGAAGTTCTAAGACCACATTCATTCTGTGTCAGAAACTTATGCTGTGTCAAATATTTAATTACAATCCAAATTCAGTGCTGTATCAAGCTTGAATGTTGTGTCCATACTTGCCCCAACTGTTCAGGGTTCGACCTCTGCGGTCGTATCATTGATTGATTGATTGTTGGTTGCTTAACGTCCAGTGGCAAATATTTCATGCATATTCAGGACGAGAACAAGTTCACAATAAATACAATAGGTAGGTTCTGTAATAGATTAAGGGATTAAAGTCGGAGAAATTTAGACTGCCACGGGAAATGAGGGTATATTGTATAGGGACAGAAATTTAGCCTTGCAACAGGTCACCTACGGACCCCTCAAAGAGTTGATGCAAGGGTTCTTAACGTGCAAAGAGCGTGACACTCTCTTTACACGAGGCATCGGATTTATCGGGGGGGGGGGGGGGGGGGGGGGGGGGGCGGTCGTATCAAGCTGCACCCCAGCGGAGCATTTTATTTTACATTGTTTTAGAGTCTATGGGAGCAACATTCTGACTTTAACAGTGCTTAATGAAAAATGCAAAATAAAATCTTAAGGGAAGGCTATTATAAGACTAAAAGTAGGGTAGGAAGGGTAACTGGAACCACACATATATTTTTATTTGGCCTAAGGAAAACAAGACTGAACAAAAGAAGTATTCTTAAAATCTTTTTTCCACTGGTGGTCCTTGAGGGAAATATGCTGGTTTTCACTATCATTTCTATTGCAAAATACTGAAATTTTGGTGGTCAAAACTTTGGGACCACCACTTTTCGAGAACTCTGCAAAAGTTAGAATGCATGGTCAAAATGTGACTGCCTTGAATGATCTGATTTTTTTGACAATATTATGTCCTACATTTCAAGTACAATGTATATTTAATTTAATTGTTTTGTGTTTTCTTCAATTGAAAATTTAGTAATATTTTGAATAGTAGAGTTCAATGCTCAATTATAATTAGATACAAAAGACACTTTTCAGATGTATACAAGTTTTTTACACAGGCAAGTTAAGCAAATGGAATTATTTCAATATATTTTCACTTACAATATTCAACCAAGTTAGTTTGTAATATTAGGACAACACCGAATTACAGACTCCACAGGTTTAGACAGGCACATAACAAATGTTGTGCGTTAAACTTTATTCATTTTTGCATGCTCTGGGATCAACCCTCAACTTACATATTTCACTGTGGATCTTGAAGGCACTAAATATTCACCTTGCAGTTATGTGTACACACATGGAAATAAAATAAGGATAATATGTTACATGCCAGATTGCCAATGAGACTGGCCTATCCATCAGAGACTAAATGAAGTAGATATAAGCAACTATTGGTCACATTAAGTCCTTCAACAATGAACAAAACCCATAACTCACAGCAAGCTATTATAATTAAGGCCCAGACAAAACAAAACATAAAATAATGCAAACAAGAAAACTGACAGCCTAATTTGTGAACATGACAACAAAAGAACAAATATGATATTGGCAACAACAATCAGCTCTTGACTTCAGAGACGCACATAAAGAATAAGGCAGGGTTTTGTCTAGGCATGGTTGAAAATTTTCAGGGGGGGGGGGGGGGGGGGGAGTTAATCCTCCTCTAGTCCAATTAATTATGACTTTTTTTATTTTTTGTTACTGGATCATAAAAATATCCAGACATGATTATCTCAACATGGACAAGGTCCATGATGGATGCACACAAAAAAAATATAAAATAAAAATGAACAATTTTCACGATGCAAGCTGTGAATGGTGTCTTGGCAATCGGTAATGCAAGTGGTAGAAACACTAGTATACACATTTGTTTCATCCTCTACTCTATTAATTTAGAAATGGGAGTCAATTATTCCATTTTATATATTTTTCCCCCAGTATAACTTCGATCTGACCACGTGTAGCATGTTTGCCAAAGCTAAACTCGTTTTGTTTCTAATTCTCCACCTCTTTTCATCTACTGAAATGAATGAAATGAATGAAATGAATGAAATGAATGAAATACAAAGTAAACAACTTATATTCCTTAATGCTTACATATTTTGTAGCTGTCACTTACTTTTGTCGGTATATTTTCACACATTAGAGAAAATAATTGCTCCAGCAAGGTGCTTTCCATTCTGCAAACTTCAAGCATCTAATGACGGCGATCGGCTTCTGATTGGTTGCTACTCGAAAGTAGGCAGGCGGGGTCTGATCCCGGCAATAAAAACATCTATTGCAACCATTTATAATATAGTTTCATCACAAAAATGCCGTAATCGTGTTTCAATAATCAAATAACACCATACCAGTATCATTTTTTTATCCGCATGCACGCATGTAATTTGTATTCAACAATTTTATCGATGGACGCTGCTTACGGAATCCGCCATTGATGAATATATAATGAGGTAATTGAGTTACCTACCCCTGACAAAAATTCCGCGAAATTGCCTTAACATCACTGCGAATGTCTATCGACAAATTCTCCTACACACCCTGGACACCATTTCCTTCTTTTTTCATTTAAGAATATCAAACTATCGCACTTGAGCGTAAACCCATCACGTATCAGCATGACCGTCTCATTTTAGTAATTGTAATATTTTCTCTTAGACTGAAGCCCCATATTTATGTATGTATGTACATGTATCTGAAGGCATTTTATTTTGTAAAATGTGCTTTAAACTTATTTAAATTCAGAAATTATTTCGAACATTCGTTATTGCAATTTTGTTATTTAAGACTTAAATGGTATTTTAATTCTCACGATTTTGAGAAAAATCCTGTTTTAATTCATATAAAATATTTCGAAATGCAAGTTTCAATTATTTACTAATCTGTCACATTTTTCGCTATAATAAAAACCTCACAATAATTTCTGAATTTACAGTATAAATAAGTCTTTGCTAAGGAAGCAACCAATTCACTTCAAAGGGGGTTATGGCTGTTTGTCTGAGTCAGGAATTTTTTTCCACACACAGCGCAAACATTTTTTTTAGTTTTCAATCAAATTATTTGTATCAAAATTTAACACTATATGTTACATGTATAAGGTTAGGGGAAATCAAGATTGCTAATATTTTTTTTTTGTCACCTGCTTGACCACAATATTTTTTAAATCATTTTTTATATGGGATCAGAATATCTTTTTAAGGAAAAAAAAACGTGATTGAGGGAATTGGGATGAGATATCAGATATGAAGTTTGACAATCACTACATGATTAATCAAATATATCCATAATATATTATATGTTAGACATATTTGAGAGATTAAAATAGGGATTGTACATGTAGCTACAGGTGAACAAGAAACGCACATATGTATTTTCTTTCAGACTGATTATCAATTTATAGACTTATTTAATTTTGTTCAACTAATGAAGAATTAATAAAGTAAGACATTTTTGAATGAATGCAATGATTATATAAACCTGTTGCTACCTTTGTATTTACATCCCATATTCTGTTGTGCTGTTTCCTGTTGGTATAGTATTGATGTTTTTACAACTTTGGTTGACACATAACACTTTCAAGACAGCAGCCAGGCCACACGTTATTATGTTTAAACATTTTGTAAAGAGAGTGGAAGACCACATTGTTTACACGCAGCGAGATGATCTGCCCATATTCCAAGCTCTACGACCCTTCTTCCATGTCTCCAACTATCATCTGATATTATATTTACATTGCTTTCATCTACGACTTCCTCATGTATAAAATTTGACAAGTCTGGTTGTTGAAATGAAGATGATGTATATGAAGTTGAATATGAATGATCCAAAAATACTGTGCGAGCCGTTTGTCTGATGTTCTGACCCTTTCTAATTGACTCGATTTTCTGTTTCTGTTTACAAGACAGAAATCCCTGTCTAAATAAAGGCAACAGTAGTATACCGCTTTTCGAAATTCATAAATTGATGTTTTTACAACTTTGGTTGACACATAACACTTTCAAGACAGCAGCCAGGCCACACGTTATTATGTTTAAACAATTTTGTAAAGAGAGTGGAAGACCACATTGTTTACACGCAGCGAGATGATCTGCCCATACTCCAAGCTCTACGACCTTCCCATTGAATAAAGATCTTATAAAAAAAGCTACGATGTATATTAAAAGTAAATTACATATAAATGTTTGACGTAACATGGTAAAAAAGTGTCAAAATATATTTGTAAACGATCTGTAGACTGGTGTTTTGATGTCATCACTTGGCGTCCGTCGTCCTAAACTTTTTACATTTTCAACTTCTTCTAATGAACCACTGAATGGAATGGAACCAAACATAGCATGAATGTTCCTTATGAGGTGCTGACCAAGTGTTGTTACTTTGTAGCTGATCCATTATCCAAGATGGCCGCCACCTGGGGACTTAGTTTAACATGGGACCCTATGGAAAATACATACAAATGTCTTCTTTAAAAGAACTACTGAATGAAATGAAACCAAACATAACAATATTAAACCAAATTTGGCCTAAAACATCATTATAAGTATCTGTTACAATTTTTACATTTTTTAATATTATTTCAAAATCCCAGGTAGAGTCGGGTGAGCGACACAGGCTCATGAGAGCCTCTAGTTTTAGATACTGACAATCTGTTATCTGAATTTTTTGTAATTGTTTTAGATTGTACAGGTAATTATAGAAGGGTAGTATCATTCAGGTCTTCCCGATTCTTTTGATGTTTTTCCAGTTCATCTTGTTCATTTGAAGGTACATCAATTCATTCATCCAACTTTATTCTTTTTACACCACTGCTCTTAATAATTGCCTTGAATTTTGAGTGTTTGAATATATTTTGATTGTGAATAATTTTGATTTAGTACTTTCTGACATATCTTTTGATTTGAATTTGAACTTCATCTATGAGACCTGAATTCTCATCCTCTTTGTTTTGCCAATTACATTCATATTCTATACAGTTTCCAAATTGTTGGTGGTAGCTTACTGCTATCAGTTCAACCTATTTAAAAAACACACAAAGTACACCTGGTACTGAATCATCCATAAGAAAACATAATAATATCATATGATACTAACTAAACTAATCATAAAAAAATATATACACCCAGGTACTGTTTTATTCATTAATTAAAAAATGTACTGACAAAAAAAAAAAAAAAAAACATGTACCACAAAACAAAAACAACAATATAACACACAGATAAAATGTTTATTCAAGGTTACATTATGACGGAGTTAAATTGTTTATATTATTTACTGTAAAATTAATTTAAAGGACTATTTTCAATGGATATTATTGTTTACTTTCTAAAATAAAAACAGTAAAAAAGTGGTTCAATTGTAACAATTGGAGAAAAAAACAAACCTGTGTGAAAATATTTGGTAAAATAATAAAAAAAAAACCAATTGTTTCTACTTCAATATTTGAAATTAATAACAATCAAAAACACTCTAAATGATGCTCTGTACGTTATGTTATAATTCTGATTTATATTTTAAAACAACTTACATGCACAGAACAATCTTTGATAAAACTATTTCCTCAAACAGAACTAGCCACTATCTTTTTGATGAAGGTATTTTTGATTGATTGATTGATTGTTGGTTGCTTAACGTCCAGTGGCAAATATTTCATGCATATTCAGGACGAGAACAAGTTCACAATAAATACAATAGGTAGGATCTGTAATAGATTAAGGGATTAAGGTCGGAGAAATTTAGACTGCCACGGGAAATGAGGGTATATTGGATAGGGACAGAAATTTAGCCATGCAACAGGTCACCTACGGACCCCTCAAAGAGTTGTTGCAAGGGTTCTTAACGTGCAAAGAGCGTGGCACTCTCTTTACACGAGGCATCGGATTTAACGTCCCCATTCTGACCGGACGTGGCTGCAAATTTGTACATCCCGCACAGCCAAACGGACGCCCCACTTTAGCACGGGTTTTACTGCCGGTCGGAGGAAGACCAATGGTGACCATACTTCTATACCCCAGTCACCCTTGGGGTTAAGGTATTTTTGAACATCGAATACAAGCTAAATTTACATGGATATTGGTAACATATCAAAAGTATACGAGTTTTATGCACTGATGAAGGTATTTTCAACCTAAGTAAATCTGGAATATTATCCGTGCATTTTAATGGAAACGTAGGACCAAAGACCAACAATGATGTCAATGCAGATATCAATAAAACCTTGAAACCTGCAATAGATAATCTCCAGGATTCTATCAGACACGTGTTGAAAAGCATATTGATAAACTGAATGTAATTTTATAAAGTGCATATCTTGAAATAATAGAATCTATTGGAGTTATTACGGAAAAAAGTGGTGCTGAAGACGGAAAGAAACCGATGTTTGACAAAGAGGACGAGGGAAAACTTTTTGAGTACGCTGTAAAACGAGCATCCCTAGGTATTGGGTTTGAAAAACAAACTACCTTAGATATGCTGGACAGCTAGCTCAGAAAAGAGGGATCTTTTTTAAAAACAAGATCCCATCTGACAGGTGGTGGAGACTTCACAAAAAAGAGGTTTCCTGATACATTAACTCTCAGAAACTATCCGCCATAAGCAAATGAACCAAGAAAATGTGGGGTCACATTTTATGCTTTAAAAGAAACTCTATTAAAGCATTAACTAATGAATAGTTCAGAAAAAAATTGGAATATGGACGAGACCTATTTCCCATTAACTGTAGATTCAGAAAAAAGTACCATACTTCCATGCAGTATCATAGGCCTTTTCAAGATCGAAAAAGACCGACACTACATGTTCATTTTTCGCAAAACCATTACGGACAAATGATTCGAATCGAATAAGATGGTCAAGAGTACTGCGACCTTGTCGGAATCCACACTGGATATTGGCTAAAAGCCCATTTGATTCCAGGAACCAAACAAGGCGATCATTGACCATCCGTTCTAGTGTTTTACAGACACAACTTGTAAGAGCAATTGGCCGATAATTAATAGGATCCGTGTGACCTTTACTTGGTTTTTAAATAGGCACGACGGTTGCAAGCTTCCAGAGAATTTATGACAGATATATTTAATCAAAAGGGAAAATCTGGCTCCGAAATAGACCCTTATACAGCCGCAGAACGTATGAGATCAGGTTATACACCTTTAAGAAATATGAATTCTTTCAACTGCCCAGCAAAGAAGTGGTTTCTTTTCTCGATTGACACAACAAT